ATATATATATATATATATATATAACTTAATTAATTTGTGTTTCCTGCTAGCTAAATTTAATACATTAAAAAAATCTGTCTATATTTTCATCTTTGAATATTTTCTATATTCAAAGATGATCTAAACAATCCAAATTTCTTTTGATCCGAAAGCAGTCAAAACTGCATCTCTCTCTAGGTGTAATTGTATTATTTATTTATTTTTTGTTAACTTGGCAACACATCCCTTACTGCAAAAAAACAAACAAAAAAAACAATAGTTTAACCATGCTTTTTGTAGTAAAAATGTGGTTACAAATAGTAAAACCACAGTTAATTTTCTTAAGGCATTTTTTTATAACTGTATTGCCTTAATAGTTTGATATTTTCTACTGTTTAATAAAAAAAGAAATCTGAAAAAAAAATCGCTAACCCACTCCGAAGTCCCAATCTGAATCAAATAGATGGAAAGATGGAAACATTGTGCATTATGATGGAGTTAGCTTAATTCACTATATCTGAAATAGTTTGACCGCTGCAGTTGTTGACAGTTCAATAGAAAATCAACTGAAAGCATCCAGTCATCTCATACCACTGAAGTGAATGTTCAATTTATTAGTATATATTGTAATAAATATATATATTTATATATTATATATATATATATAATGTGAACAACACAGTTAAAGAGGGTAAACTTTATCATTCAACTGAACTGTGCAACCATGTTTGAAACACTTCAGCTTATATGTTCTCCAACCATATTAAATGTACGTCCTCTAGCATATTTACTTTATCTTCTCAGGGAATATCAATGGTATTACATATTTCAGATGCGGCCTAAAGTTATCAAATTTCTTTCTTTAAGACATTTTAAAGTCAGCTACTGTACATAAAAAAGCCAAATTGGTCTAATTTGAATTTGAAAAGTAAGACTGCTATGCTCTAGGGCTTCTGTTTTAATAAATAACGAGACATATTATAACAAATAGTACAAGTCATAGTTTAAGTGGTCACCCTACACGTCTTCCGTTTGTTCAATTCTTTGAAATGACAATGGGCTCGCATGGCCTGAGGGGAAGAAGAGGGCGTGAGGATTCAGGAACTCAGCATGGGGGGGAAGAGAGGAGGTTGAGCCAGGTGTTGTCCTGCACTCTTTCTCGCAGGTCCTCTCCTCCGATTAGTGAATTTTATTGTTTTATTAGTGGTTAGGAATCTTGAATTTAGTCTTGGTAAAATCCATCCTTACAGTTCCGCCCTTGGCCCCTTGGGGCAGATTCAGAGCAGTCCCTAAGGGGTCATTATCTATGGATTTCTTGTAGCTTGCTTATGGTTGTAGTTTCTGTAGGGCTGGTACTCTTAGCGGACTGAGCGCGATGGCCACATTGGTTGAAGTACGCATTGCACGGAGAAGACATCTGAAGTAGCAGCACTGGATGAGAGTGAATATGAAGATGAGCACACTGGCGATGGCGCATCCCCGAAACATCCAATCCCACCAGGTGTAAGCATACCAAGCTGAGTGGGTAGAGGAGCTGGACAGGATCTTTGCAGTCTTTTCCGCCAAATTTGCTTCCACTTGTGCCTGGTTGAGGTGGTATTCAGTCCGTAAAATAATCCCTTGAACTAAGTTCATCGTGTTGACCAAAGCTTGTGTGCTTCGCTCATAAAAAGTGTCCTCCCACCATGGGGAAACATCTACATCTAGTGGTACCTTTCCCAGGATGTTTATCTGACCCATTGAAAAGTCCTCTTTCACTTCCAAGCAGAAAGTGTGGTTAGCAGGGCAGGTCAGACCTCCGTAGGTGAAGGAATTCATCTCACTTATGACGCACCACTGGGTGTGAGACACTTGAACAGCATCAGAATGGCCATGCAAAGTCTGCACATTAATGAGCTTAGAATCATTGTAAGAAAAAGGTTGTAAAGTGTTGCAGGTACAAATAATGTAACTAAATGTTTCATGACAACAGGTGCGAGTGGTAAACAAGGTTTCAGTGCCCTTCAAAGTCATATACCCCGTAAGATGGTCCCATTTTATGATCTGATCCTTCACTACTACACTGATAGAGCGTATGGTAGTGGAATTTAGGAAAACTTGATCTGGGTGAATTAGAGGGAAAGTGGCAAAAAACCCAATACATCCAGTACATTCATTTCCAGTATACATCATTAATGTTGATAACAATTCAGAATAGTTAATGTTTTTCATTTTTTCTGATGTAAGCCATCTATGTAGATCTAAAATTTCAATAAGATCATTTAAAACATGTCTAGGTGTCTTGTGAAGACGAAGATCTAAAATCTCTTGTCTTGCTGCAGTAAACAAATCTTGTGCATACAATCTACAGGCTAAGTCATGCTCGATGATACGGGTCTGATTGAAAATTGTTTGACTGGTCGTCAGAAGCGCCTGCGCTTCAGATCTGACCGCTTTGATAATATTTTCATTACTATTGGTGATGTGTTGAAAACCAGTGGCCACCTGATTTGCCAACCATGTTGAAAACTGAGATTGCCCTGTTATTTTGTAAGTGTTGGATATAGAATTAATTGACCCAAAAAGGCCTGCTATATTTCCAAACAGGTCTCGTTTGGTGCGAGTAGGTGGAATTTGGACTGCAAGTCTGTTTTTGTAATCGGAAACTATATCATCGATGCGTGACTGTAGCCATGTATAGGTTTCATCCTTACTGTTACAATGTTCTACGTAAGCAGACAAAATGTTAGAAATGTTATACGTAACATGTGTTATCACAAGATTGACATCATGAAGCAAAGTCTTGTTTATATTTCCTTTGATAAGGCCACCCGGAGGGGTGGGATATAATTTTGGACACTGTGTGGGCTTTCTATATCCACAGGTGGTTAGATTAAAGCAATGATGTAAAGCCCATGAACAATTATGAGGGTTAGTAAAATTGTCCATATTTGCCTCACATTTTCCCACACAGTAGGTTCCTTCTTTTCGTCCAGTCCAAACAAATGTTTTTAAATTGTTTTTGGATACAGTATTTGTTAGATTAAAAAGAATTTCAGTAAACTTCAAATGTGTATTATTATGGGTTGTAGTATGCATACACCTATATGTTGCTGGTTCTAGATCTTTAGTGGAGTAACATTTTTTAGGATCTTCACCATAGTTGTTGATTTGATATAGTATGTGCTTACTACCAATTTTTGAACCTGGGTATTCTTTAAGTTGATCCCAGGTAGTAATGTTATGGTGAAATTTTGGTGCGAATGTGTAGCCTGTGATGTCTGTGTCTGGGGGATGGGTAGAACCTGTCTTACAGCAGATTTTAGTTGCACAATTTGGTTCCGGTGCTAATCCGGGGGGCCATGTGACTATTTCTTTGTATGTAACTGGAATGTAAGGTGTGAATGGCCCCTTGGTATACTTCCATACCCATCTCCCGCATCCTAGGGTATGTGTGAGTGTGACCCGTTGTCCCAATTCGATGCAGGTGGGTCCAGATACCACCCTGGCATCTGGCCTCCATGGGATTGCAGTGACTGTCCTATGGAAAAGAAAGATCATAATTAATTTAATGAACCTTTGAACAGTTTACACTGGGACATGTGGTACCATCTTAATTTTCCCCGGGTGGTCACGGCCACGCAGCTGTTGCAAACAGCTTTAATTTCATATGGCCCATGCCATCTAGGGGAAAATGCATTTTGTTTTACAAAGACGCGTACCATCACAATGTCTCCTTCTGAAAATTTAGTTTCAGAGATTGGGTTAAATTGCGCATCATTTGTCAGGTCGGACTGTTGTCGTTTCAGATCAGCCTGAGCGTGCAACACCTTCAATCTTTCTTGCAATTGTACCAACACAGTCTGCTGCGTTGCGAGCATGAGAGGCCCCAAGTCTGCTGGGGAAATTTCTGGATCAATGGGTAATTTCATCACCCTTCCAGTCATAAGCTCATATGGGCTAATGCCTGTAGCTTTTGATGGGGTTGCTCGCAGCACAGTCAGAACAGTAGGTAAGGCATCAATCCATTTATTTTGGTGTTGGGCTATCTGCTTAGAAATATTTTCTTTGATTGTCCGATTTGCACGTTCAACCATTCCAGAACTCTGTGGTCTGTATGAAATGTGAAATTTTTGCTTGATGTTCAACATTTTGCACATATTTTTCATAACTTGTCCAGTAAAATGAGTCCCCTGATCAGATTCAATTTGAATTGGTGCTCCCCAGAGGGGGATGATTTGGTTCGCCATCACACGTGCCACTGTATTTGCAGTGTTATTGCGAGTGGGAATTGCTTCAACCCATTTTGAGAATTTGTCAATTATCACGAGGCAATAGCGATACCCCCCTTTGGCACTGGGAAGCGGACCAATGAAATCCAACTGTAAGGACTCCCAGGGTCCTTTAGGTGGTTTTGGCCTGCACAAATTTGTTCGGCCTAGCTTTCCTTGATTAACTGTGGCACACACCAGACAGGTGTTGCACCATCTTTCAGTGTCAGCTGTCATCCCTTGCCACCAAAATTGTTTTTGTATCAGTTGTGCTGTTTTTGTTGCAGAGACATGCGCATACTCATGATACAATTTGATTATTGGTTTTTGAAGCGCTTCTGGAACAACAAATTTTCCATCTCGGATGACTATGCCTTCGATTACGTTAACCATCGGATCATGTTTCAAGTGTGGCACAAGTTCTCCATCAGAGACCCACAGATCGTGTTGATACTGTTTGAGGTCGATGGGCGTAACTTGAGCTGCACTTGCCACAGAAACAGAGGCTGTTTCGTTTTGCCATAGGTCACCTTTCACTGCTGCCAGCTTAGCCAATTGGTCAGCAATATTATTGTTTTTCTCATGCACATCCGGATTTTTGTTGATGTGCGCACGCACTTTTACGACGGAAATGGGGGTTTCTCGTGCTTGTATACCTTGCCAAATTGCAGTTATAGTGTTGAAATGCTTTATAGGCGTTCCGGCGGATGTGAGGAAATTTCGTAATTGCCATTGAGCCATAAAGTCTGTTACCACACCAAATGAATAACGGCTGTCGGTATACACGCAGAGCGGTTCAGGGTGTGCCTCTTTCGCTTCTAGCAATGCAACGAGTTCAGCTTCTTGTGCGGATATGTTAGATGGTAATTTAAACAATAACTGCTGTTTTGCATCTGTATTGGGAAGATGAGGCGTCCACACTGCACAGCCAGTATAGAAGTGACCATTTTGGAAGAATCGAGAACCGTCAATGTATACCTGCACTTGGCCTGGTAGTAGCTGGTCATGTACAAGGCTTTGTGCTTCTTGTTCAGGCTGGCATGTGTGTGGATGTCCCTCAACATCCCCGAGCAGATGTGGCAAAATTCGTGTGTTTTTTATTGTGATTTCACGCGCTTGAATGTCTGCTAGCCATCTTGCTAATCTTTGGGAAGAAACTCCCTTTATCCGGCCCTGCAACAGCATTCGTACAGGCGTATGCATTGTGTGTATAACAACAGGTTGAAAACCGACAATGGGTTCTGTTGTTTTTAGCATCCAATGCACCGCAAGCACTTGCTGTGTACATGGGTCGAAACCTTGTTCAACTAGAGATTTTTTCCGACTGTAATAAGCAATTGGGCGCAGTTTTCCTCCATATTCCTGAGCTAAGACTCCGCTCAATGTGATTTCATGCGCGTCTACTTGAATATGAAAATTTTTTGATGGGCTGGGCCAGCCCAGGGCGGGCGCGGCGCACAATCGTTGTTTTAACTCTGTAAACGCTTGCTCATGCTTGTCAGTCCATTCTAGGACATCGTTTGGCTTTGTTTTGCCTTTTAAAAGCGAATACAACGGTGCGGCGGTATTTGCAAAATCAGGGATGAAATCTCGTAAATAGTTTGCTGTACCTAATACTTTTTGCAATGAGTTTAAAGTATGAGGTCGGGGCAGTTCGGCAATACATTTCTTTCTGTCATCTGTTAAGGCTTTGTGGCTTTGAGTGAGAGTGTACCCTAAGTAGTGTACTTCTTTTTGTGCAATTTGGGCTTTTTCTTTGTTCATTTTAAAGCCTGCATCAGTTAACATCTGTAGCAGTTTGTCAACCAGCTGCAAGTGGTTTTCAAGTGGTCCTTCTGTGGCTATTAGTATGTCGTCTACATAGTGAACTACTTTGCCAGTCCCTAGTAAGGGAGTGAGCACATCTGCCACAGCTCTGTGAAAAATGGCTGGGCTGTTATGAAGGCCTTGTGGCATTCGTTCCCATGTGTACTGCATTTCATTTACAGTAAATGCTAGTTTCCATTGATCTTCTCGTTTGACTTTAATAGACCAGAAGCCATTTTTTATGTCAAGCACTGTGAACCACGAAGCGTTGGTCGAAACTTGTGATAAGATGGTAGACGGGTTTGCCACTATAGGTGTTGCCTTGGGTAAAACTTTGTTGAGACGCTGATAATCAATGCAAAGGCGCCATTTACCATTAGGTTTTGGAACTGGCAAACATGGAGAATTTGTGGTTGAACTACATCGCCGAACTATCCCTCTGACCTCAAGCTGTTTTACTATCTCATGAACAGCGGCCTCTGCCTCTGGCTTGATGCGATATTGTTTTTGTGGGGGAGGGGGCTCTCCCTCAATGCATACTTCAAAGTCAATGAGGCCACAGTCGTGTTCATGATTAGCCCAAACATCGCTGTGTTTGTTGATGAGAAGTTGAATTGGATCTGTACTGGACATGGACATAATGCTGACATGGCTTCGAGGCAGGCATTTCTTTGCCGTTTTGTTAGTTTGCACTTCAATTTGTTTTTCAAAACAATGAATTACAAAGCCATGCTTTCTCATGATGTCCATACCTAATACAGTTCCTTCACTGTTATCTGGTAAATACCAGAATGGTTCGTTTAACAGTACCATGCCTAAGTCGAGCTGAACTGGCTGCGTTTGAGTTGCTGTCATCAAAGTATCGCCTATACCTTTAATCTGGATCGTTTGCGTGCTTAGGGGTAACAGAATATTTGTGCAGGAGCAGGCGGCGCCGGTATCAATGAGAATGTTAACTAACCGGCCTCCAAGGTTAGCTCTTATTTTGATTCGGTTGCCGCTTTTGATAATGTTTCCTACAGCAATGGAGGCCACGCACCCCTATTGGGGATTGTTATATTTTGCTAGCAGGTCAGCAAGGTCTGCTTGCAGAGACCTGTATGGGTTATTCGGGTTTTTAGCTTCAGTTTGTTTTGTGCCATTTTCTGGGGTGTTACTTTTTATGATCAAATTTTCTAGCTGACTAAAGATTTCGCTGTCAGCTTTGGAATGTATCTTCTGACTATTTTGGGCCCTTCTTAGTCTAAAACAATCTTGAGTACTGTGATTATTTTTTCTGCAAAAGTAACAGTGAGGTTGTGATTTGAGCTTTAGATCAGATTGTTTAGCACCTTTCCCTTCAGCTAGCCATTGTGTTGTTGAAACGGAACGAGCTTTGGTTTGTTTGAGCCTGTTTTCTATTTTGGAAGCCCAATCCACTAATGACCGGTAGGTATTCTCAGACGGATCGGCTCCATGAACTAGCGCTTGCTGAATGTGAGGCCCTGCATTATTTTTCAGGAGTTGAAGTAAAACTTCCTGATTGCGCTGTGCATCTTCTAAACCCGAGTGTTCTTTGTAAGTTACCCATAAACGTTCCGCATAAATTTCAAATGGTTCTTTGCTGGCCTGTTTTATTTCCAAAATTCTATTCCATTCAGCGTGTGTTGGTCCCCTTAGCTCTATTAGAGTCTCCCTCAATCTTTCATACACGTCGTTTTCATTCTCATCTTCTTGCTTGACTACAATTTCTCCAGATCTTAATTTAGGGGACATTTTTGGTTTTAGCTCCTCTGAAATAGTGAGGAGAGCAATTTGCCAAACATCTCTGACCTCTAAATTATATACTGATGCCTGTAGCATTAAGTTGTCCCAGTAGGGTTGGAAAGGGCCTTTTCTTGGCATCATTCCCACAACTTCTTTGTGTTTAGTGCATTCTTCGCAAGTTAAAGGACGGCTAATAGTAGTAATTTCATCATCTGCGTTAGTCATTGTTTTAAGTACAGCAACTTTCATTGTTTTTCTGAGAACAGCGCCAGATTTAGTTCGAGTCCTTATTGGACTGCGCTGCCTCTCTTCGGGTCTATTTGGGCGATAATACATGTCACTCGCGGGTTCTGGAGAAGGGTCACGTACCACCGAACTAGGTTTTGTCCTTGAAGTTCGATCAGGAACCTCTGTCAGAGACAGATGGTCCTTAACGTTGCTTGCTATAGCTGCAACATCATCTTCATCGCTATCACTGTTTAGCTCGCTTCCAATTTTAGAATTTATCGCCGCTGCTTTGACCGCAGCTACGGGAAACCCTGCAGACCCGCAGCACGTTTCGAGAGCGGATGTGTATTTTTTATCTAATTGCAGCTTTTTCCCAAGCCTTTTAATTTGCGTTTCCATCGCGTCGCCCTGTCTTGCCCAAGTTTGTTTTTCATACACAGATGCTTCAACCTGTGCTCTGAGCTTTTTTAGCTCATCTGATCGCGTTGCTTCTAGCTCTTTTATGTTTGCTATCACGCGTTCGTTTTCTGCAATAGTTGCCAAATCATTTCGACGTAGCATATAAACAATCGCAATCAGTAGTTTTCGATAGGAAGCTTTGGTTTCCAATTTTCGTCCTTCGGTAACGTACCAGGCTAGAATTTTGTCATTGTTCCAATCAAATTCTACTCCTTTGTTACGCAGACGAAAAAGGAGATCCTTAATTTGCAAGGCAAGAGTTTCCATCACATCCCTGTCTATACTGGAACTACCATTTCCCTGATAAGCCATGTTGTTTCTCTAGTAATTTCAAACACCACCGGCTTTTTCGGTACCGGTCTATCCTGGGTATTCCGACCCGTTCTACAAATGTGTCTATATGAGGTGCGTCTAAGTTTTCCCTCAAAAGTTTCTAAAAGACAAACAAAATGGACTTACCACAGCAGCTGCAGACAGAGAAGGAGAAGCTCAAACCTCATGCCCCGTTTGGATCTGAATTGTTGCGCCAGATGACGTCACTCGCCTGAGACTGGAGGATCACGTCGGGGTCACCACTTTGTAAGCTCCACCTGTTGGCCCAAGGAAGGATGTCCAACAGCCTGGTTGAAGGTATTCTGCGTGTACGTCTTTTCTGGCGCTTCTGTAACAATCACCTTTATTTATTAAAATTTGGTTTCTAATTTTAATTCTGACTCCGTGTATAATTTAATCTGACTCCAACTTTAAATGACTCTTCGAATTTACAGTATTCACCTGTTTCATGTTTCCCCATTATACAGCTCTGGAAACATTAAGAGACCATTCAAATTTTTTCCTAAATCAGCATCTCTGACATTGCTGGGGACATAACGGCAGACAACACACATTTAATTGTTTGATCAAAATTATTGCTAGGGACAATTAAGTAGTGGCTGATATTAGTTGGGACATGTCATAAAGTCTCTACTAAATTATACACACTTGAAAATCATAACAAGTGATATCCGACTTTGGAAACTACAGTTCTCTCCTTAAATATGAAGATGTTAAAAAAACAGATACTACTCAAAAGAGGATATATATATATATATATATATATATATATATATATATATATATATATATATACCAGACATTTTAACCATGGACATGAAAAAGACATGGACATGAGTTGGTCTATATTTACTAACACTGACTTTGCATAAACTCTACATTTTAGTGTTTTCATTAATTTAGGTATTTTATTTGTGTATTTATTTCCTTCTTCATTTTCTCAGTGTAGTTTGTTATGTGTTTCTGAATATTCCCAAACGCTGAATGATATAGATCAAAGAAATAGGTCATTGTTGTCATATTCGGAAAAAATCTGAAACATGTGTCTTTATTAAATGAAAAAATATTATATAGTAAAAATATATTATTACTAACACACTATGAAGATGTAGGCAAACCAAATCTCAGACTGAATCACACCAAATACAGTAATATTGAGTAATACCAACTCGCCACATTTACAGTGTTCTAATGTTCATTTCTATAAAGCTTGTTTTTCTAAACATCTGTCTGTTTGCACTGCATTAAAGCTCATCTGTTGCTTTTGCAGATGAATACTGGGAAATACCCTCTAACATCCATGAAGATTATGAAAATGGTGAGTGTATTTAACAGTGACTTTGCATATACTCTACATTTTAGTGTTATTTGATCATTTATGTATTTTATTTTGTGTAATTATTTACTTCATTTTCTTAATGTTTGTTGTATGTGTTTCTGAATATTCACAAACACTCTCTGTATAAAACTGGTCATTGTTATATTTTGAGAAAATCTGAAATACAGTCAAACCAAAAATTATTCAGACACCAGATATAATATTTGATATTTTTTTACTAGTGGGTGCAGGACACTATAGTTCATTTACGTAAGTGAGGATAACAAAATAAAATAAATTGTTATATATTATACCCAAAAATTCTTCTTACAGTGGACTACCAGTAAATTTGGGACCAAACATTATTCAGACACATTGACCTGACCATGTTTTGCTTAAGTGTTTTTTTCTTTAATTGCTAATTTGACATTTTTACATCACAGACTGAACAAAATTAAGCATTGCTTGTAATTGGTCAACAAAGTATTGATAGTCATGTAAATATTGTCATATTAACAGTTGTCTGAATTTTTGGTTGATTGTAATCCATTGCAAACCTTGCTATCAAAGTTATCTGATATTATCAAGATGAATTTGTTCTGACACAGTTCTTGTCATATTTTATAAAGATGTTCTAAACTATAGCAAATAAACTGTGATAATGTGAGAAATGTTTGTATTTTATTTGTGTATTTATTTCCTTCTTCATTTTCTCAGTGTAGTTTGTTATGTGTTTCTGAATATTCCCAAAGACTGAATGATATAGGTCACAGAAATAGGTCATTGTTGTCATATTCTGAAAAAATCTGAAATATGTGTCTTTATTAAATGAAAAAATATTATATAGTAAAAATATATTATTACTAACACACTATGAAGATGTAGGCAAACCAAATCTCAGACTGAATCACACCAAATACAGTAATATTGAGTAATACCAACTCGCCACATTTACAGTGTTCTAATGTTCATTTCTATAAAGCTTGTTTTTCTAAACATCTGTCTGTTTGCACTGCATTAAAGCTCATCTGTTGCTTTTGCAGATGAATACTGGGAAATACCCTCTAACATCCATGAAGATTATGAAAATGGTGAGTGTATTTAACAGTGACTTTGCATATACTCTACATTTTAGTGTTATTTGATCATTTATGTATTTTATTTTGTGTAATTATTTACTTCATTTTCTTAATGTTTGTTGTATGTGTTTCTGAATATTCACAAACACTCTCTGTATAAAACTGGTCATTGTTATATTTTGAGAAAATCTGAAATACAGTCAAACCAAAAATTATTCAGACACCAGATATAATATTTGATATTTTTTTACTAGTGGGTGCAGGACACTATAGTTCATTTACGTAAGTGAGGATAACAAAATAAAATAAATTGTTATATATTATACCCAAAAATTCTTCTTACAGTGGACTACCAGTAAATTTGGGACCAAACATTATTCAGACACATTGACCTGACCATGTTTTGCTTAAGTGTTTTTTTCTTTAATTGCTAATTTGACATTTTTACATCACAGACTGAACAAAATTAAGCATTGCTTGTAATTGGTCAACAAAGTATTGATAGTCATGTAAATATTGTCATATTAACAGTTGTCTGAATTTTTGGTTGATTGTAATCCATTGCAAACCTTGCTATCAAAGTTATCTGATATTATCAAGATGAATTTGTTCTGACACAGTTCTTGTCATATTTTATAAAGATGTTCTAAACTATAGCAAATAAACTGTGATAATGTGAGAAATGTTGAAGGTGTCTGAATACATTTTGGTTTGACTGTTTGTGTCTTTAATCAAAAATATATTATATAAAAATATATTATTACTACCACACTATAAAGATGTGAAAAGAGCCAAACCAAACCTCAGACTGAATCGCACCAAATACAGAAATATTAGCATGCAAGGTGGAGTAAAACCAGCTTGTCACATTTACAGTGTTCTAATGTTCTGAAAACAGAAATGTGAAGTCGGACACTTTCTGCTTCCCGTAGTAACACTCACCCGGTGTTTGCGTACTTTGACATAGATTATGTGGTTTAGATGCAATATTAGTCCAATACACAGCCATTTCAGATGTTTTCATGAAGCAACAGAAACACTTCTTCATTCAATACTTTATGTACTGCTTAATACAGCACCTGTATTATGATAATAAACCAAATACAGAAATAACAGCTTTTAAGGTTGAGTTAAAATATCTTTTCACCTTTGCAATGTTCTAATATTCAGTGGCAGCTATGACGAATATTTATAAATTCATAAAAAGCTTGTTATTTTTCTAAACGTCTGTCTATATTTGCACTGCATTAAAACAAATGTTTTATTTTCAGATGAAGAATGTGACAAACTTTATACCACATGTCTGCGTGAAGAAAAGCCCAAAGTCGATTTCACTGTTTCAAGTGAGATTAATAAGAAATTATTCAAAAAGAAGACATGGAAATGTAAACCGAGTATTTCAACAAGGCCAAGTGTGGAACTTGCATCAGCTACTGCTTCAGGAAGCGGCATCATAGGCATGATTGACACGATTGACAGACCTGCAGATGCCAAAGCAGAAAGCACCTATGCTCGAAGCGGATCATATAAGGAAGCTTTTGAAAACAAACCAGGAAAGAGGATTCCCAAGGCTGGAGTCTATGCGGAAGCAGGAGTTGGACGAGCTAGTGCTGAATTCAGTATATTTAGGGCAGAAGCCAAAGGCCCAAACGCCTCAGCTGGTGCTGAAGCCACTGTGGCTAGACTCGGGGTCGGAGCAATGGCTCAGGCTGAGATTGCCAGTGCGTCAGCTAGTGCCGGTCCACTTGATGTGAAATTGGGACTTGGAGTCGACACGGGTGCATATATTGGTTTGGGTGGGGTGGAGGTCAAAATACTGGGATGTGGATTCTCATTTGGTCGAAAAACCAGTATATCTCTTCTGGGTTCAGAACTGTCATTTTCATTCTAGTCACACAGGTATAAATTACCTTTGAATATTTATGTGTAACATTTTACTATGTCTAAATTTATCCTAAACATCCATTTGCTGTCTCAGTTTTGACTGCTCCTGTTAGTGGTCGCCACAGCGGATCGTCTGGACATCTATTTGGCGCAGGTTTTCCTGACACAACCTAGCACTGACAACCCATGAACTATTACTAATAGTTAACCCATTTAATTAATCCTTAAAATTGTTCTCTATATTGAAACATGACCGTTATTGTTGCATATCACTTTTTATAATTTAATTATTTCTAATGTATACAATTATCACATTGTAAGCCTATTTTTCTATATTCCTGTCCCCATTTAGGAACATGTACCTTGTTATCTGTCAACTACTAAACTCACACTTGTGTGTCTAATTTCGTCATGTATCTTATAATATTACGTTTTGTTTCTCTAATTACTGCTATTCTTTCATTCGAGCTGGTTTGTCAACCTCTTTATTATTACAATATGCTTATTGCTGGGTTTTTTAGAGTGGCCTGGATGGTGTATAATAGTAAGGTCAAGAAAGGCTAAATCAGCCTGTTTAGTTTATTTAACTTTCAATTTGGTAAAATGCTCTCCTTTGAATTGTTTGCATTTTAAAATCAATTAAAACCTGTTTCTGCAAATTTAGTGTCTGTTATTGGGATGGCCAGTTCCTTTTTTTTCCGAGTGCCCTTGAAACTCCCATGAGCTCTGTGTACTGAGCTGTGCCTGGAAATGACTTTCTTATCTGTGACCTGCTTGTTTTTCAGAATGAGTCTCTGCTTTCAGTACACATTCACTTTTATATATATATATATAGTAATTAAAAGTGTGAGAGTTGCTGCTGTTGTTGGAAATTCAACAAAGCAAACGTCAGTATTAATTGGACTTTCAAGCAACAGCTTTCTTCACGGAAGCTTTGCATTCAGTGAGCTAAGAAAATATTTAATATTTATTTGGCAGCTGATTATTTACTTATATATGAAGTAGCCATGTAATAAGCGGGATAATGTACATCCAGCCAGGTGTTATCGCAAAATAAAACCATTCAGAGTAAGATTTAAAAAAGAAAGAAATAATACTTTTATTCAG